TGGACAATGCTACTTATTGTGGCTGGAATTTGCATTTCCATCATTGCAAATGAAATTGAGGAAGTTTTCTTCTGTTTGTTGACCTTGCAGATTTCTTTTGTGAAGTGTTGGTTCAAACCTCTAGTTCACATTTGTAACTTTATTGTTAAGGCTTTCGGTTTTGTTTTTCTTGTTCCTGTGTGGTTCTTTATGCATCCTGGATACATCTTTAAATAAGGATAAGTATACTGAAGCATTATCTTTCCTTTCTCTTTGTAGTACTGGGGGATTGGACCTGAGGCCTCATCCTGATCACATCTTGCTTTTGTTAGTCATGCGTCTCTCTCTGTGTATGCATATGTGCCTGCCAGAAAACAACCTTGGGGGTCATCCCTCAGGAGCCATGCACCTGTTTTGAGAAGGGGTCTCTCACTGGGCAAAGGCTTGCCAGTTCTGCTAGCCCTAACTGGTCAGGGAACTCCGGGGATCTCCAAAACTAGGGTTAGGAATCCATGCTACTGTGCCCAGCATTGTTTCACACAGTACTGGGACTTGATAAAGTCAATACATGCATGTGTGGAAGCACTCTACTGGCTGGGCCATCTCCCTAGCCCCAGATTCTTCTCACAGTGGTGGTCCTCCTTAGACAGGGTCACACATAGTCCAGCTGACCTCAAACACTAGGTATCCAAGACGATCCTTCCATCCCAGTTTCCTGAGTGTTGGGATTACAGGCTTGTACCACCAAACGGTTTATGTGGTACCAGGGATTGATCCCAGTGCTTTGTAAATATTAGGCAAACACTCTACTAACTGACCTATATCCCCATCTGGTGGCTTGTCTTTTGATGAACAAGTGTTGCCAAATGTATCAATCTTTTCAACTAATAGTTAGAATGAGTATTAAATGCTCCTCACTTGCATTATATACCAGACTAGAATCCAGAAGCAGAGGAAGAGGGCTAGAGGATTCCAGGCCAGGAAGGACTACAGATAGAGACAACCTGTTTCAAAAAGCAAAAATAAAGACTTCTCTGTCTTGAATTCATGGGTATATTCTTCTAAATTATATCCTAAAACCTTTTATATTTACTCTATAATGGACTGGGGATAGATTTGTGGTAAGGATTCAATTTTATCTTTCTCATATATATCCAGTTCTCAGAATCGGTGAGAAGTGCGTTATTTCTTTTTTGCATGAAAGGGCAAAGAGTCACAAAATATTTGTGGATCTGATCTGGGCTATTATGATCCAGTGTCCATCTGTCTTTATGAATATAAATAGTATGCTTTCTTTTTTTGTTGTTGCTTTCGAGACAGGGTCTCTCTGTGTAGCTCTGACTGTCCTGGAATCGGCTCTGTAGACTACATTAGCCTCCTGAGTGTTGGGATTGAAGGTGTGTACCACCACCACCCAGCAATGCTTCCTCTTTGTACTGGAGATTGAACTAGGGCCTCATATATGTTAAGCATGTAGTCTACCACAGAACTATACTATGGTCTTGTATGTCATAGTATATGCCTGGTATCTGATAAAGCTAGTGTTTATATCTTGGTCCTCTTTCAGAATATCTCCTTGGGAACAAGTGAGATGGCTCAGTGGGTAGAGGCACTTGGTGCCAAGCCTGACAAGTTGAGTCTAATCGCCAGGACCTACATGGTGGAAGGAGAGAACCAACTACTGAAAGCTATTGTCTAACCTATACAAATCCATTGTGGTACATGTGCAGTCACACATGCACAAGTAAATGTAATTTTAAAAATACATTCTTGGCCTTCTATTTCCATGAACCTTTGTAGACAGAGGCTGCTCATTTGTTCCCAGTCACCCAGACCCAAAATAATCACCCAGAAACTGTATTATTACAACACTGCTTGGCCTATTAGCTCACACTTCTCATTGGCTAGCTCTTATATCTTAAATTAACACATTTCTGTTAATCTGTGCATCGCCACATGGTTGTGGCCTACTGGTAAGGTTCCATACAGTGTCTCCTGAAGTGGCTACATGGCTTCTCTCTGACTCCGCCTACTTTCTCCTCCTCTATCCTCTTGGAATTCCTACTTACCCTATTCTGTGCTGCAATAGGCCCAAAGTAGCTTCTATTAACCAATGGTATTCACAGCATACAGATGGGAATCCAACATTGTACCTTCCTTTTTGAGGAGTTTGAGACATCATCTCACACTGTAGGCTGGCCATGAACTCACAACAATCCTACCTTGATAAATGTTGGTATGATAGGCATAAGTCATCATGTCTGGCTTCAAGACAGTCCTGATACCCTCCATTTTTCACACTTCAGGATTCATATTTTACTGATAGCTTTGGTATCAGTTAATAAGTGATGTTGACTTATAATAGTTTCTAATCTAATTTGATCTTTGTCTGATTTTATCAAAATACTTCTAATCTCATAGAATAAGTATTTTACATTTTCTGGAATTTTTTTTTATAAAATTTAAATGATCTGCACTGTCTTTTTAGTTGTCAGCCTAACCTTTAATGGCTGAGCCACCTCTCCAGCCCATGAGGCACAATTTAAAAATTTTGTACAATTTATTTTAATTATTATTTTGGCTTTTCCCCCCCGAACTTGTAATCCTATTTCAGCCTCTCAACCCTTGGATTTATAGGTGTAATTCTGACTGTAACGTCATTTTCTTTTTAAGGTTTTAGGTTGGTATAGTAGTAAATGCTTTAAATCCCAGAACTTGGAGGCAGAGGCAAGTTGATCTATAAGATTTAAGCCAGCTTGATCTGCCAAATGAGTTCCTAAACAGTCAGGGCTGTTTTACACAGACACACACAGACACACAGACACACAGACACACAGACACACACACTTAAAAAAATGTATAAGGACTGGAGAGATGGCTCAGAGGTTAAGGTCTTTCAGAGGACCTGAGTTCAATTTCCAGCAACAACATGCTTACTCACAACCATTTGTAATGAGATCTGGCGCCCTCTTCTGGTGTGAAGGTAGAACACTGTATACAGAATAAATCTTTAAAAAAATTTTATGAGACCAGGCCAGCCTGGTCTACAGAGCAAGTTCCAGGACAGCCAAAGCTACAACAGAGAAACCTTGTCCTAAAGAAAAAAAAATTGCACATGTATTAGTATTTTGTCTGGATGTGTGTATGTGCATCATGTACATGTGTGTATGTACATCAAGTATGTGTGTGTACATCATGTTTGTGTATGTACATCATGTGCACGTGGTGCCTGTGGAGGCCAGGGGACGGAGTGTTGACTGAGGTTTCTGTCCTGCCCAGTTGCTGCAGTCATCAAGTCCCAAAGAAACACACAGAGATCTACATTAATCATAAACTGATTGGCCTATTAGCTCAGGCTTCTTATTAAACTCTTATAACTTATATTAACCCATAATTATTGTCTGTGTTTGCCACATGGCTTGGTACCTTTTTCAGCAAAGCAGTCACTTCTTGTTTGCTCTGTGTCTGGGTGACTACTGCAGGCTAAAACTTCCCTCTTCCTAGAATTCTCGTTGCCCCACCCCGCCTGACTACTGGCCAATCACTGTTTATTTAAAATACAAGTGACAGGATACAGACCATTGTCCTGCAGCAAGTGGGGGGCATCAAAACCCTCTGGAACTGGAGTTAGACAGCTCCACTATCATATTGGTGCTGGGAACAGAACCCAGGAACTCTGCAAGAACAGCAAGTGCTCTTAACCGTTGAGCCATATCTCCAGCCCCCATGATATCATTCTTAAAACTTTTTCTTTTACACCTTGCATCTAATCCACTTGCAAATAACGTTCCCTTTACCTTTAAATTCAGTCTGGCTATTCATTTCTACTGCTTCTGCTTGGTCCACATCAACGTTATCGTTCACCCAAACACTGTAGTTGATCTTACTGTTTCTGTCTGTATAGCTATCACAATAGTAGTTGAAAAATTTTGTAATACCTAAGTGTAGTTACACAACTTTAATCTCAGCACTAGGGAGGCAAAAGCCGGTGGGTTTCTAATGAGTTGCAGGATAGCCAGGAGCTACATAGTGAGACCCTCAAAAACAAAGACCCCATCAAATTATCTGGAGATAAATCTGTGGTTCTTTAAATAACTACTTACTTCCCTTTAATGCCAGAACTTGGGAGACAAAGGCAGGCAGATCTGTATAAGTTTGAGGCTAGCCTGGTCTGCAGAGCAAGTTTCAGGACAGCAAGGGCTGTTATACAAAGAAACCCAGTCTCAAGTTGGGCGGTGGTGGCCCACGCCTTTAATCCCAGCACTAGGGAGGTAGAGGCGGCGGATCTCTGTGAGTTCGAGGCCAGCCTGGTTTACAAGAGCTAGTTCCAAGACAGGCTCTAAAGCTCCAGAGAAACTGTGTTTCAAAATTCAAACGCTCAAAATATAACTCAATGATTACGTGTGGTATCCATAACCAAAAGTCTGGTCATTCAGTACAGCTCTGAAAATTTAACAAAAGAAAACCTGACCAATACACCCCCACTCCCTTTACTATTTGGGGTATTGCTGTTTCCTTTTGAGACTGATTCTCACATGGCCCAGGAACTTGCTATGTAACTGAGGCTGGTTTTGAACTCCTGATCCTCCTGCCTCTACCTCACAAATGCAAGAAGAGGCATGTGCCACCAGTCCCGGCTCCTTTACCTTTTAAAAGTTTTTTTTTTTTTCTTAAAACACAAGTGGCTGAACTACCCAAACTATGACTACCGCTAATTTCGTCACATTTCCCTCCTCTCTACTTTTTTTTTTTTTTTTTTTGCGTCTTCTCGCCTGCCACTGAAGCTCAAGTCGCCGCAGAGACTTCGTGCCGCTCTCTCCCCTCCTGCAGCACCCGGGCGGACCGGCGACCCAGGATCTCCCCCGAGCTGGGGTTTCCTCAGCGTCCCGCACTCACCGCTCTGGCACCCATAAATCTTAACTACAGAGCGGAAGAGCGCACGTCCCGGGCCGTCGGAAAGCGGAAGCAGTCCATAGTCGCCGGGAACCCGCCTCCCGAAAGCGGAAGTACGGCCCTAGAAGCTGGCCATAGACGCGGGCGGCTAGAGCGACCCTGCGGGAGGCGGCAGGAAAAGCTCGGAGCAGCTGCCGGAGGTGACGGAGCGGCCGCCCCGCCCCGTGCGCTGGAAGACGAGGCTTTCAGGTAGCCGCGGTAGTCTGTTTCAGGGTACGACCCAGCCTTGGGCGCAGACCCTCCGTACCGGGGCTGCCGCTTTAAGGGAGGGTGGAGCTACGAGTGAGGAGCGTGGAGGTGAGGTCACGTGATTGCGGGCACGTGCAGGACACGAGCTGAGAGCTGGGGGTGCGTCGTCGTTGGGTTGGACACCATGTGCCACCGCTTCCCTCACCGCCTCTTCTGTTTTGGGGCTCAATGGGGTGCACGTGGTGGGGCTTAGGATTAGGCCCTGGATTGGGGGACAGGGTGGGCGTGGCGAACTTTAAGGAACCCTAGAGCTGGGTTTTAGACCTCGTGACCTGATTTCTCAGTGCATTTGTGACTTAGTGCCTCTGGAGTGCAGTTCCCTGCCCTTGAGCTGAGCAGACCCTGACGGCGCCCAGGGACCTTTAGCTTCATGTTCCTCTTTCCTTGCAGCTCCAGACAACTTGAGGCCAGAGCCCCGCACCTCGGTGCAGCCATGAGTGCGGAGGTGAAGGTGACAGGGCAGAACCAGGAGCAGTTTCTGCTCCTGGCCAAGTCGGCCAAGGGTGCAGCGCTGGCTACGCTCATCCATCAGGTGCTGGAGGCCCCTGGTGTCTACGTGTTTGGGGAACTGCTGGATATGCCCAATGTTAGAGAGGTGGGTTGCTTGCCTTGGGCCCGAAGTTTCTTCTAAGAATGCGTGGGCCCGTTTTGTAATCAGTTGCACGCAGGTGAACAGGGTACTGATAATTAACCATCAGTCAAATAAAGGTCTGTGCTTCCCTTTGGAGATGGGGGGAAATCTGTAAACTTAATGCCCCTCCCTTTGTACACACACTTTTTGAGGGAAGGTTTCACTGTGAAGGCTTGACTGCTCTAGACTAGGGTCAGTCCCCGCCTGGCTTGATGTTGGACTTGTGGCAATCTTCCTGCCAGTGCCTTGTGCAGAATTTAAACTTTTCTTTCTTATTTAAAAACGTGGAACACTTCTCGAACTTGCGTGTCATTTTTGCTCAGGGGCCATGCTGATCTTCTCTATATCATTTGCGTTTTTGTGACTGTGTTGCCAAAGCGATCAGGGATTCCTCTACCCACCCCACCACCACCACCCACCCCACCCCCCGCCCCCGAGGCAGGGTTTCTCTGTGTAACAGTCTGGCTGTTCTGGAACTTGCTTTGTAGACCAGGCTGGCCTAGAACAGAGATTCACCTGCCTCTGCCTCCTGAGCGCTGAGATTAAAGGCCTGCACCACCACCACCCAGCTGGATTTTTAATTTTGAGGGGAAAGAGCAGGTCATTCAGAATACTCCTTGTAAGTTCCAGCTTTTCCACCAGTGTGATGCCTTTTAATAATGTCACCTTTAATCCCAGCAATCAGGAGTCAGTGGAAGGTGAGTTCAAGGCCAGCCTGGTCTACAGAGTGAGTTTTAGGACAGCCATGGCTATTTCACAGAGAAGCCCTGTCTCAATAAACAAAACAAAAACAAAAATCATGTCACCTTGATCAGAGAAACCATATTAAAAGGCTCAGTTTTCTCTTAAAAATGGTGATGAGAAGCTGGAACATAACTCGTTGATAGAATGCTTGCCTACCGTTTCAGAACTTGGGATGCTAAGGCAGGGGCATCACAAACTTTAGGCCAGCCTGGGCAACTTAGACTCCACCTCAAAAAGGAGTAGGGGTGTAGCTCAGTGAAAGAGCCCTTGTCTGTAGTATGCGAGGCTCTCTATAGGTTGAATTCTCAGAACTGCAAAAAGGAAAAACTATGCCGGGTGGTGGGTGATGCATGCCTTAATCTCAGCACTTGGGAGGCAGAGGCAGGTGGATCTCTGTGAGTTCAAGGCCAGCCCAGGACAGGCTCTAAAGCTACACAGAGAAACCCTGTCTCTTTAAAGAGAGAAAAGAAAAGCCTAAGAAGCAGTGCCCCTCACAGTTACAGAAGTAAAATTGTGGGAAGTCTAAAGCCTCCTAAAAATAGAAAGAATGAGCAAGTGTCCCATTTACTAATTCATTTAAGGTAGATAATGAGTAAATCACTATGAACACAGCAGAGAACCACTCACAGAAATGACCGAGCAAACAGATTGCCCATGCTCTGGCCCCAGCCTGTGTCCTGAGAGGCTGGTAGCAGGGTGTGGCTAAACTGAGCCGAGTTTTAGAAGGCCTGTGGTTGAACCAGAGGATGTAATGGTTTTTGGTTGCTGTTCCATAGACAACTGACTATCTTTTGTTCCTGATTTTATCTACAGTTCCCAATTGCCTAACAGTGTTTAGTGTTCTGCAGAGTGCAAGCTACTAGGCTTGTCCTTCAAGCTTGTATTCGGTTAAAGAGAGCAGATAAGTAGATGAAAATGCGTAAGTCGGTTATTTAGCAAGCGTTTACTTTGAGGGCCACGGTTCTGCTGCATCCTTGTAGGCCTGCAGATGCCTTGTTAGAAGGTACTGTTCAGTGAGAGCCTGCAGGGATGGCGTGCCAGGATGAGTGAGGGGCAGTATGAAACACTAGTGGATGATGTAAGACCACCTCACTGAGGATGGTCTGAAACAGGCCACAAATTCTGTGACCTCTGGGGGCCAAAATAGCGTCATTGACAATGTCTGATGTCTGCGTGTGGTCCTCTGAACACGGAATGTTTTCAACCCTGATTTAGAGTAAGAATTTAATGTGTAACATGTCAAAGGGCTAGAGGTAGAAGTGAATGAGCCCTTAGAGCAAGGGTGTATGTTTGGAGACGTAGAGAAAGCCTCTTGATGGATGGACCAGGATAGGTTCTGTTGAAGGACGGGGTCAACAAGTTGAGTTCAAAATAGGTCCTTCCTGTCACTTCCCTTATGTTCTTGCAGTTGGCAGAGAGCGACTTTGCCTCCACCTTCCGACTGCTCACAGTGTTTGCCTATGGAACCTATGCTGACTACTTAGGTAACTAGGGGCTGGAGCTGTGACGCTGTGGGGCAGGAGAAGGGTGGTTTCTGGAGAGACCTGCAAGAAACTCCTGGGGTTCCCTACTTAGATGCCATAAGTGAACCTGGCAGCCTAAGATCAGGATGGTACAGAAAACTTGGAAGGAACTGCTAATAATAAGACAAGACTTGTGGGCTTCTGCTCCTTTCCTAGCTGAAGCCAGGAATCTTCCCCCACTTACCGAGGCTCAGAAGAATAAGCTTCGACATCTCTCGGTTGTCACTCTGGCTGCCAAAGTCAAGGTAAGTGACAGTCCTGAAGCCTGCCATCCTATTGTTTGTTCCTGGGAGAGCCATTGACCTCCCTCTGGCTCGATCAGAACCAGTTCTCCGTACTGCAGTCCTTTAGGGCTGATAGTCTCTCAGTGTGGACTGAGTTCTAAGTTATCTCTTGTGTTTGGTGTCCTGTTTCATCGCCATACAGAGTTCTAGGCCTCAGAGCTAGAGATGGGGTTCTTCTCCTGTGAAGCAAGCACCAAGCTTCTGTTTGCTAAGCTAAGATGTGTGTATCTCAGAAGTAGCCCTGTGGTCGCAGTCTTTCGGCACAGTACATCCATCATGTGTCCCTCGTCTTCTCTCCCACTTGCTCACTAGAATTGAGCCCTGGTGATTTTTGCTGGAGTCGAGCTCATAGTTGTGGATGCCTTGACTAAGTCTGTGTGCTAAGCACAGTAATTCTAGGCCCCTCCTATGAACCTCTGATGTCAAGCTGATGTAATGCAATATCCTTAGCTACTGCCAAAGGAGGCTGAGGCAGAAGGATTAGTGTGAGATCAAGTCTAGCCTGGACTACATAGTGAGCCAAGTCAGGCTGGGCTGTAGCATGAGAACCTGGTACCTTGCTTTGCTTTAGAACTAATTTTTTCTAGGAAATGGTTTAGGGATAGGAGCTGAAGGCAGGTGGGACTCGGCCTTGTGGGAAAAGTGGAAAAAAGAGGAGAGGATTATGGAAAGACTTTCCCTGCTTTTGAACCCTCGTCTGTCCCTGGCCCCAGTGCATCCCATATGCGGTGTTGCTTGAGGCTCTTGCCCTTCGGAACGTGCGCCAACTGGAAGACCTTGTGATTGAGGCTGTGTATGCCGACGTCCTTCGTGGCTCCCTGGATCAGCGCAATCAGCGGCTAGAGGTTGACTACAGTATTGGGCGGGACATCCAGCGCCAGGACCTCAGTGCCATTGCCCGAACCCTGCAGGAGTGGTGAGAACTTGTCAGGCCTTGACTCCTTCCTTATACAAGCAGGAGAGCACAGGGCTGGGATGCAGAGGGTTAGCCCAAGAGGAGAGAAAGAGACCAGCACTTTCCTCCAGGGGCTTCCAAGGGAACAAGCTTGACAGGGATGCTGGGTGCTAAGAGGCAGAATTGTTGGGGCAGTAATTGGGGAAGGGAATGGGAGTGGTGCTCTTGAGGTTTCTTAATGGGATGCTTATCACTGTCATAGGCTGAATTTAGTACAATGGCACATAACACCATGGGCTATGGGTCTCTGTCTCCTTTTCTTTTTTTGTATCCCTGTCCAAATGTATTATGATCTCACTGTGTATCCCAAAATCCTCTGCCTCTTCTTCCTAGTATTGAGATTACAAGCATGCACCATTGCACACCACCATGGCTGGCACTCCTATTTCGTGTGTGGTTTCTACCCACATCTTTTTGTTGTTGTTTGAATTTTATTTTATCATTTTTAGCTGTGTGTGTGTAGTAGAGGGGTGGGTGTGCAGATGAGTGCAGGTGCTCACAGGGCCAGAGATGTCAGATCCCCTGGAATTGGTGGTTGTGAGTCACCCAGTGTGGGTGCTGGGAATCAGTGCAGGTTCTCTGGAAGAACAATACAGTGTTTTTCTCCACTGAGCCATTTCTCCAACACCCCCGGCCCCACCCACATTGTATGTATCACTCAACTACTTCCTTATCCCTTTCTTATCCAACTCCAGGGTTTTTGCTGATGAGAATCTGTCGGAGCTGGTCCTCAGGTGCTCCCAGCTTAGGCTAGGGTTTCGAGTCCGGCTCAGAGGCTTGCTCTTGAGTTTCTTTATTAGTTTTCTTTATTCAGCCCTCTTCTGCTGACACCTTTCATCTGCCATGATTCCCACAGGTGCGTGGGCTGTGAGGTTGTGCTGTCTGGCATCGAGGAGCAAGTCAGCCGTGCCAACCAGCACAAGGAGCAGCAGCTGGGCCTGAAGCAGCAGATCGAGAGTGAGGTAAACAAGGCAGGGAATGCGATCAACTACAGCTCCCCAACCTGGACTCCTGGCTTGTGCACAGGGACTGGGATGTGGATGAGGCAAACTGATAAGATAATCAGGACCTGTCAGGTTCTGGAACCTACTTTGCTATCCCCCATTCCTTTCATCCTGATAGGTTGCCAACCTTAAAAAAACCATTAAAGTTACAACAGCAGCAGCAGCTGCGGCCACTTCTCAGGATCCTGAGCAACACCTGACAGAGCTGAGAGAACCAGCTCCTGGCAGCAACCAGCGCCAGCCCAGCAAGAAAGCCTCAAAGGGCAAGGGGTGAGCCCGTACGGGGAGCCGCTTGTTTCTGGGTACCCCACTCTTAACCTTGGGGACCTCAGCCTGGCTGCTCCACTTGCTTTAGTCATTTGCATGGGGTCGGGAGTGGGGGTGTCCTCCAGGATTTAGGGGACCCCTTGCATCCCCTCTCTCTCTCTTCCCCTTGCCAGACTCCGAGGGAGCGCCAAGATTTGGTCCAAGTCGAACTGAAAGGACTTGTTTCTTCCCTGGGATTGTGGGGTCCCAGCTGCCTACCTGCCTACCCCTTAGGAGTCCTCAGAGAGCCTTCCTGTGCCCCTGGCCAGCTGATAATCCTAGCTCATGACTTTTCATCTCCTCCACCCCCAAACATAAGCCACATCCTCTATAGGGAAAAGGCCAGTACAGGTCACGTTTGGTTGGTACTTCTGTGTTCCATTTCCTTTTCCTGCCACGCTTGCTCTCATCTTCTTCACTCAGCACTGTTCGTGCCCATTTCCCATGTCATTGAGCAGATTGGCAGGCCTATGGAGGGTGCTGATCTTCACCACCCACAGGTGTTCTCTACCATGCCTACCCCTGCATGCCTAATCTGCAGTTCCTCCTCCCTCCCTGTGCCTATTGGGCTGCATCTGAAAAGCCATGGGGAAGGGTGTCCTTCACCTTCATCCCAGCCTTAGAGTTCTGGGAGTGGCTGACACTTTGGTCCCAGAACCCATCACACTACAGCTGTTTCTTATCCTCCCCCGTCTCCTTGGGTCTGGGAGGACTGCTTCAGCGGCTCCAGAGCTGAGAACAGCCGTGTGTGAGACGTTAGGAAGTGGTTCTCTGTTAACTAATCATCTTAGGAAACCCAATGGAAATCCCGGGAAGATTTCTATCTCTTCTTGTGATTTTGTTGGGGAAGGGAATATAGATTGTATATTAAAAAAAAAGTATATATGAATAGGTCTATATATAACATGACACAGAAATAAATCTATGAGAAATCTGTGTACAAAAATGCCGGGAACTGGGCCTCTTCTGTCTTTGATGTTTGTTAACAGGGAGAAGACTAATCCCCAGCCCCTCTAAAGCCGAGTGCTGGAAAGTGAAAGGAACCAGATACTGTTTGCAGACTCCTGGCTAGCAGCCGGGAGACCCAGACCCTGGGCAGGTTGCTCCATACCTCAGCCCATGCCCAGAAGTAATGGGCGCCTACTGAGCACCACATGTCCTAACAGTGGAGCTGCAGCCTGACCGCCACTGTCCCTACGCCCAAGGACCCGCAGGGCAGTCTGTTCCTCTCACCTCAGAATCACAAAGGGGGCGGGTGTTGGTAGTGAACTTGAATTTTCACATTGAAAACACATAAAACTATTAGCTTTGTTGGTCTTTGGCCCTTTTGTTTCCCAAGAAGTATAGCAGGAGGTCGGCCTAGAAGCACTGCTTGCTTTCTAGAGGTGGGGATGCAGTTGAGGGTGGGCAGTTAAACCCTCACTTGAGTGTGAAGTGCTGTCTTTGAAGGGCCTAGTAGGTAACTGGGCCTGTGCTGTTCTCTAGCTGGGGATTTAGAATGAATTGCCTTTTTTTCTGTTTTGGACAGCATCTCTAAATGTAGCCCTGGCTGTCCTGGAACTTCTTTCTATGTTGAGCAAGCTGGCCTAGACTCACAGAGATCCACTTGCCTCTGCCTCCAGAATGCTAAGATTAAAGTTAGGTGTCATCCTGCCTGACTATAGCCAAATTGCTCTTAACTGCTTAAAACTAGCAGTCATTGGACCGGAAAGTAGGGGCAAAGTCCTTTTGTTTTTTGTTTGTTTGGGGGTGGTTATTGTTGAGACAAGTCTTTTGCATTTCAGGCTAGCTTTGAATGGCCTTGAATTTAGGATCCTCCTGTCTCTAGCTGAGTGCTGGGATTCTGTGTGTTTACCACTCTTGGTTTTTCAGCTTTCCCTAGATAAGCAAGCTGCTTGATTCTCTTGCTTCTAAAATAAACCTTTTTGTCCCAGACGCTCCACTGTACAGAAGGTGCTGATTTCTGGTGTTCTGAGCCTGCCCTCTGACCCCTACCCATGCCCTGGTTTTTCCCTTGGAACTTAGTTGTCTCCTTTCCTGGAGGCCGGTTCCAGACCACTGCTTCTCCATTCAACATTAACAGCTCTGAAGTGCCAAGAGAGCTTTGAACTGCCTGGGGGGGGGCAGGGGGGGCACACCATTCCTGTCCATCAGGACACAATAGTGTAGCGTGGATTTGACACACTGAGAGCTCCTGTTTTAAATCATAAGGGAAGGGAAACGATTGCTAGGCAGAGTGAGGACTCAGTTTTTGTTCATTTCTTTTTGTTTTGTTGTGTTGAGACAGCATTCTTCTGTATAGCTCTGGCTGTCTTTGGATCTCTGTAGACCAGCCTGGCCTCAGATTCACAAGAGATCTCCTTGCCTCTGCCTCCCAAGTGCTGAATCAAAGGCATGCCATTATGTATGCTTGGTTTTCAATCATGAAATTTGTTCAAAGGTTAAGGATTCCATGTGCTCAGGGTACATGGAGTCCTAAACAAGCATACCACCTACCCAAGTACTCACATGTACTGACCCCTCCTGTGCTGAAGTCCTAGATGTCCCGCCCTAAGTCATGAAAGTTCAGGGTTCACATACATGAAACATGGCAAATGATTATGGCGGAGGCTGGAGGGAGACATGGCTGAGTGGATAACATCTCCACTCTGCAAGCTTGAGGACCGGGTTCAGATGCCCAGAATCCACTGTAGACCCTGGGGGGTGTGACTGCAACCCAGTGCTTCTGGAAGACGGGCCCTGAAGACTACCCTGACACTCATGGGCCAACTAGCCGGGCATTCGCTGTGGGGGCAGGAGACAGAGTTCTGCCAAGAAACCCACTTTCAAATGAGGTGGAAGGTCAGGACTGACACCTAAGGCTGCCCTCTGACCTCCCAGACTCTCAGACTTACCAGTGAAGCCGGGCGGATGCAGTGGAACATCTGTTTTCCAGCTTCGGAGGCTGAGGCAGGAGGCTCTCAAGTTCAAAGCTAGTCTGAGCTACATGTTAAGGTCCTCTCAAAATACGAGAGCTGAGCTGTATAGCTCCTTGATAGGGTGTTTGTCCACTGTCCCAAGATCATGATTTTTGATCTCTGGTGCTACCACCCTGTGTGATAAGTGCCCATTCCCTAGAGCTGGAAAAGAGGGCTCAACATGTAAGGGTCTCTTGCCTCCAGGTCTGCTAAAACCATGAGTTCTTGCTGGGCGGTGGTGACGCACACCCTTAATCCCAGCACTTGGGAGGAAGAGGCAGGTGGATCTCAGTGACTTTGAGGCCAGCCTGGTCTATAAGCGCTAGTTCCAGGACAGCTCGGGCCACACAGAACCCCTGACTCGAAAAACAAAAACCAAAAAAAAAAAAAGTTCAATCTCTGGACCCCACATGGAATGAGAGAACTAACCACTGCAGGGATCCCTGTATGTACGTATGTGTATGCGTGTATGTTGGAAGGGATGCATAAATGTAATAGATTAGAAAACAAGCAGAAGTTCTGAAGGCAGAGTAGCAAATGATACGTACAGATTAGACCATGCCTAGTCTGGTTTTCCTTTGCTTGTTATATTTGCAGTTTTAAATTTTTAATGTATAAAAGTGTGTGCATGTGTGTCTGTGTATCAAGGGGGCGGGGGCTGCAGAGGGCATCAGATCCCCTGGAACTGGATTTACTTAAGGTTCTGAGCTACCATGTGGATGCTGGGAATCAAACCTGGGTCCTCTGCAAGAGCAGCTTGTGCTGTTGCTCAGGAGTCATCTCTCCAAACCCTAAAAACCTTGAAATTTTAAAAATAAAATAGAACTTAGCTCACAGAGTAGGGGTTTCCATGGGCCTTTTCATCCTTAGCTCTGCTTTTACCCTGTGCTATGGAGATTACTCCCCAACCCACCCTCTGCTCAGTTTTGTTTAGTTTGTTTTGGTTTTTGGAGCCAGGGTTTCATGTAGCCCAGGTTGGCACAGAACATAACTGCATAGCTGAAGGGGACCTTGAATTCCTGGTCTTTCTTCCTGTAAGTGCTGGGATTACAGGCTTACACCATCATACATACCTATGGGATATTGCTAATTAGCAGAGACGCCCTGTGTTCTATTTATTGAATATGTTAGAGATCAGACATTCCCAGAGGCTGGAGAGACGGCTCAGTCGTTTAGAGTGCATACTTCTCTTGCACTGAACCCAAGTTGGATTCCTAGCCTCCAAAGTAGATGGCTTAAAACTGTCTCTAACTTCAGCTCCATTAAGATTTGATGATTGGCATCTGCATTCCCTTAAACATACCCACACACAAATGTACACATATCCACAGTAAAAAGAACTCAAGAAAATCCCATGAAATCCATACATAAGAAGGCTACTAAAACTCATAGTGGTGGGGAAAGTTTTTTGTACTTAGGTGGACTTAGTCTAACATCGGTGGGTAGAACAGAGTTCAGGGATGTCTATAAATACCAGCACTGCTGCTCTGCAACAAATCAGCTTGAACTAGAGGCTTAAGGCAACTGGGCACAGTGGTGCACACCTGCAATCCCAACATTTACGATGCTGAGGTAGAATTGCTGCAAGTTTGAAGCCACCCTGGGCTACAGAGTTCCAGGCTACCCAGAACTGTATAGCAAGCCCCTGTGACAAAACAAATCCCCAGCATATTGTCTTTGGTCATATGGTAAGAATCTGGGTAGAGCTGAGCTGAATTCCCACTTCAAGGTTTCTCACAAGGCAACATTTTAGATGTGAGCCATTGGACTGAGTATAACTCACTGGTCCTGCACTTGCCTGGCATGGGTTTGATCCCCCCTCCCACAAAAGGAAAGGGTATTCAATAAGGCCATGGTTCTCTCAAATGTGGTAGGCTTGCTTCTGACTCAGTGGTCAGCGGGAATCACCTCATGGGTGTTATCAGGGCCCTGAGCAATGGTTAGTGGCCACTCAGATAGCCCTCACCATCATTGCAAGAACCAGAAAGACTGCACCAGCAGGATGAAGTCACCAAGAATGACAACAGATCATTTCCAACACTGAGTCATACAGCCTATGCCTGAGACGGTGGAAGCTTTTTACACAGGGTGACCTGGCAGAAAACAGGGAGCATTGGTAGCCATGATGTAATTGCCTACCAAAGGCAGTATTTCTGTGGACCACCAGCATCAAAATCCCTGTTCATGCCAGGCAGTGGTGGCACACACCTTTAATACCAGCACTTAGGAGGCAGAGGCAGTCAGACCTCAAAATACATTTAAAATATAACAATTGTGGGCTGGAGAGATGGCTCAGTGGTTAAGAGCATTGCCTGCTCTTCCAGAGGTCCTGAGTTCAATTCCCAGCAATCACATGGTGGCTCACAACCATCTGTAATGAGGTCTGGTGCCCTCTTCTGGCCTTCAGACATACACACAGCCAGAATATTGTATACATAATAAATAAACAAATAAATAAACAGTTGCCAGATGATTATAGCACATGTCTTTAATCCCAACGCTCTGGAGGCAGAGGCAGGCAGACCTCTGGGTTCAAGACCAGCCTGGTCTGCAGAGTGAGTTCAAGGGCAACCAGATCTACCTAGAGAAACTCTGTCTCAAAACCAAGAATTCCTGTGCCAATTCCTGTAAGTTTAAAAGGGACTTTGAGATGGCTTAGTGGGTAAACCTCCCTCAAGTTATCCTCTGACTTTATACACATGTGTACTTGATATGAACATGCCCACACATGTCCACATGCACTAAATATGTAAAAATCTCTAGATCTTTGAGATGGCTTAGTGGGTAAACCTCCCTCAAGTTATCCTCTGACTTTATACACATGTGTACTTGATATGAACATGCCCACACATGTCCACATGCACTAAATATGTAAAAATCTCTAGATCAGGTCTAAGCTGGGAAGTCCTGAGTATGAAACCCTCTTGCCCAGATGAATGACAACATGGACTGACTGTGACCTGGTATTGAGGGCTCTGGAGAACAGGGAAATGTCCAACCACCATCAGGAGGGATAAGCAAAGGTTAAACTGAGGACACGGAGCGAGAGAGCAAGACAGAGCTTGTCTTCTGGTGTTCTCAAGTGTGTGGTTATAAACTGAAGGTTTGTGAGCTAAGCAGTGTTGGATGAGCTGAAAAGCGGTTGACAGGGAAAGCCACATCTTGCCTGGAGTTAAAAAGAAACCTAACAAAGACATGGCTTTGATACCAACTAAAAGCTGGGGTAGGAATGAACTTACGAGGAGGAAGGCACCATGCTAGGAAGAAGAGCAGGGCCAGTTCCTGGATGCAGGAGTGTTAGCCTGTACCTCCTGCTTGGCCAAATATGAGATATGTGGGGCAGGATATACAGGGTGGCTTTTTGTTGTTGTTGATGTTTGTTTTTGTCAGATTGTTGGTAAATATATATATTGACTGAAAAGCCTGAGGTAATAGAAAATGTTTGTGTTAAATTAGGCACTCTAAACATTGGAGTTTGGGGTGATTTTTTTGTATTTTTGTCTGAATCTATTTCCTGGAGCTGGAGTGATGGTTTGGTGGTTAAAAGCACTTGTTGCTTTTGCCAAGGACCCAGGTTTGGACCCAGCATCCACATAGCATATCTAACAACCCCCTGTAACTCCAGTTCCCTTCTTCTGGCCACTGTGGGTACTGCGTGCACATGGTACACAGACATACATGCAGGCAAAATACCCATAGACTTAAAAATAAATACATCTGCCGGGCAGTGGTGGCGCATGCCTTTAATCCCAGCACTCAGGAGGCAGAGACAGGAAGATCTTTGTGAGTTCGAGGCCAGTGTGGTCTACAGAGCGAATTCCAGGACAGGCATCAGATACACAGAGAAACCCTGTCTCGAAGAACCAAGAATGAATGAATGAATGAATGAATGACTACATCTTTGGGTCAGTAGGCTCATCACTCTGTCATTCTGCTGTGCTCATTATTGGGCTTAGAAGCCCAGCCTGTGCCCCAGCA